GATGAGGCCAATATGAAATCTAGTTGGTCATAAATATAGGTGACTAATGCTTGATTTGATGGGATCTTTAAGAAGGCTTGTGAAATGCTACTCACAACTGTTTGCCCTGGAGATTTATGGGGGAAGCATGTATCTATGGGCCCCTACCCCCCATTAGTTAAGGGTGGCCACAGTGTAAGGGCAGCAGTCAAGGAGTACCTGGTGCAGCCTGAAGCCAGACACCAAGAGATTGCCCTTGGAAGTGACCCCTTAAAGCTTGTGCAGAAGTGGGGCTGATAGGGGCTAATGTGGTATGCAAAGTGTCTGCTACGTGGAACACCACAAAAGTATCATGCATTCAATATGCACAAGGAATTCTGTAAAATAATTTCAAACAATCTTCATATTTTTAGTATTTCTACAATGCTTATTCTACATGGAAAAATAAATGAGGCAGGTTTTATAAACTGAAGTGGAAAAGTAATTATGGCTGCAAGTAAATTCTGACTCTGACCGTATTTTAGTGACGCTTACAAATAGAATTGTGAAACAGTTTTCAAGATGCCAAGAGAAATGATCATGATTATTTAAGCATTGTTTATTTCAGAATCTAGACAGGATAGATACACTAAACTAATTACCAAAAAGCAAGTTTAGCAGGTTTCTTTGCCACAGAAGCAGTAAGCTTTGAACTATGTTGAAAATGACATTGAGAAATAACCTGTTTTAAAAGCTGCTATAGACAGATATTGCCAAAGGTGCTAATTTTTTGAAAATTAGTTGATGGGACGATAAGTTGCCATCTACTGTAAAAAATAATCATATATCTTGGGCATATAATTCTAGTTGAGCAGGGTATGATAAGTTTAAGGGAAGCACTGGATTGGTTTGCCCATGATTGCATCTTTTTGAATTTTTAAAAGAGACAAAAAAGACAAAGCTAGATACAGGAGGGTCTGGGAGGTAATTTGTACACACTGAAATAAGAAAGTAAATTTACAGCAGCTACAAGGAGAACCAGTTATTTTTCAAATACATTTTATTGTTATCAAAATAATGCATGCAAATCCTGTAAAATGAAAATAGTATAGAAAGATTATAATTAAAGTACTAGTTCACTCAAAGGCAACACTTTTAACCAAGTTTTTTTGTTTATTTTTGGTGGTACCTACTTATCTCTAAGTAATATGCTTATATTACTTTTTCTCAGTTTACCAATGCTAAATGGGACTGTTTTACTTTTGGATTTACTTTAAATCCATATTTTAAATATGGATTTAGCTCACTTTCTACTCCCAATATTAACTTTCCTCCTCACTCTACCTACCTCTTTTTCCAATATAATTATATCACATCCTAAAGTCCATCATTCCTATAACCTCTGTAACCATAAATAAAATAAATAACCACAATTTATATATATATATATATATATATATATATATATATATTTCCATTTTTTATTCCATCATCTGTAGGTAGTTCTCTATACTTCCCGCTTTATAAGAGGAGATGAATAAGCCTCATCTTCCCTTCCAACTGTTCCGCCTTCCACTTCCCCGCCCTAAACTTTATTGTGGTGGTTGTTAACATACTTTTTATTCTACAACCATAGTTGTGTTAAGTAATTTGTCTAAAGATTGATTCTAAAAATGAAAAAAACATTTTTAAACCTTTACCTAATTATAGTGTAAGCATTGTTCACTGTAAAGTCAAGTATTTATGCCAGTACTACACTGTTTTGATTACTGTAGCTTTGTAATATGTTTTGAAATCAGAAAGTGTAAGTCTTCCAACTTTGTTCTTCTTTCTTAAGACGGTTTTGGCTATTTGGGATCCTTTGTGAATTCATATAAATTTTAGGATTTTTTTTTTCTGAAAAAAAATGCCATTGGTATTTTCATAGAAATCGCATTGAATTTGTAGATCACTTTAGGTAGTAATGGCATTTTAACAACATTAAGTCTTCCAGTACGTGAACACCTTTATATCTTTCCATTTATTTGTATCTTTTTTTCTTTTAGCAATGTTTTGTAGTTCTAAGAGTAGATGTCTTTCGCCTCCTTGCTTAAGTTTATTTCTAACTATTTTATTCTTTTTGATGCTATTGTAAATAGAATTGTATTCTTAATTTCCTTTTCAGATTGTTCAATGCTAGTGTATCTCAAATCAACTGATTTTTGTATGTTGATTTTGTATCCTTCAACTTTACTGAATTCATTTATTACTTCTCTACCATTGTGTGTGTGTGTGTGTGTGTGTGTGTGTGTGTGTGTGTGTGTGTGTGTGT